ATGTTTATTGATGGTGATTTTGTCTCACATTACATGTGTAGGGTCACAGAGTTAACTGCACTCCTATAAATGGCTTCAAGTAAATTTATTTTATCAGAGTCCTTTGTGGGGACCCATGCCTATTACCAAGCCATATAATCTGCCATGATATGAGTGAACTATCTATCTGGGCACTGCATGTGAATTTTACTCATATGCCTGTAATCCTTATGGGCGTCATATGATTTTTGTTAACTTTTGTTCACAGCCGATAGGCATTATTCCAGTGATCACTGCGTTCTCTGATGCTATGTTCATTGCCACAATATCCTCTGAGATCTTTTATATCTCAGATTTCATCTTAAATCCATCGATTCCCATGTATGTTTGTTGGTGGTCGAGTGAGCAGCTGCTTGGGTGACTAGACAATATTGTCTTTTTAATTTTTAGTTAAGTGTTGGTGGTGGTTTCTCAACCTGCGTGTTACTTGTGTTACGCATATATAATATTTTCATTAAAGCCATTTTTTTAATAAGCTGCATGGTCCCATATGAAACTTTCTTTTAGGGGAATCATCAACCCCTGTATTACCTATGTGCTGTTTTTAAGTTTTGGTGACCACACCCAATATTGCATTTATTTATTTTGGGTGGAGTCAGCAATCATCTGGCAGCCTATGTATATATGCAGGATTATTTATATTTATTAACTTTCCATGCATGGGCTATAGATGCTCTTGGTGTACCCTTTTTAATAGTTTGACATTCATCTAACTTATCCCCTTCATCTGAAGATACACATGTGGGCACTGGTTGTTCGAATTGAGAACCTTGTGATGACTGGTAGGTTAAACAGGCCACACTGGTAAACTATACTGTTATGTGTATGTGCTAGTTTGTTACTTGACCCCTTTTATGTTGTGTTGATCTTTTAAAGGGAATAGACACAACAGCTAAATGGTTAGCACTTCCACCTGGCAGTACTAGGGTCCTTGGTTCAAATCCCAACCACAGCACCACCTTCCTGGAGTTTGCATGTTCTCCCTGTGCCTGTGTGGGTTTTCTCATACACTTTTAAGACATGCTGGTAGGTTAATTGGATCCTGTCTGGCCCTAGTATGTGTATGAATGTGAGTTAGGTACCTTAGATTGTATGCCCCTTGAGGGTTAGGGACTGATGTGAATGTACAATATATATGTAAAGCGCTGCGTAAATTGACAGCACTATATAAGTACCTGAAATAAATAATAAATATATCTAAGAGATATTTACCTACCTTCAATATTGGATTACGTCTATTATATATTGGCACCTGGTCCGTGTTTGATCTAATTCCCTCCCTTTATTTGAGGATGTGAGGAAATATATCATGAGGCCATTAATTTGGCAGTTGCTGAGCACAGAACAGCTGAATTTAACTGTACCTTGCACTTGAGAAAGCATGGTATGAATTTATAGCACTGATCCAAGTGGCATATATTTAAATGGTTGGAGGTTGCCATTGGAGAGTTCTATCCCACTTGTGCATCATATTTTTTTTAGTTAATTTGGATTAATTCTGTTTAGTTCTATAGGTTATAAGAATTTGGTTTGCCTCCTTCTATCTAAGGTTTCCTTTTCATGCCTGCCCACAGCCCAGATGGATATGACTGTATCTTGGCTCTATCCAGATTGTTTTTGTAAGTTCCCATAGTGGGTTGAGTTATATGTTTGATCTTAATTTTTTTTTTGTTCATTCATCCTCTTACCACCTTTCTACCAGGGCCAGTAAAAACATTTGTAATTATATACAGTGCTCAGCATAAATAAATACACCCCAACAGATTTGTCAGAAAACCTTTACTTTACTTTCAGAATCAATATTTTCTATGGGACACTATACTACAAAATACTCCCACAAATGCAAGCCATTGATTGCAAACAAGATTTGTTAATTTGCACACACACAAATTTTTTTTTTTCCTAACAAAATCATTCAAGACAATGATGCAAAAACGAATAGGAGCAAAACTAAATTTCAGACAACAAAATCCTAATTAACATGAATTCAACTACAGGTGAGTCTAATTGTTCATTAAACAGGTGCCCAGCAGAAAGTTGATTATAAAAGGGAGTTCCTTAACAAAGAAAACCCCTTCTCATTTCATGCTGTCAGCAATGGCACCACATTGAAGAGAAATGTCACAAGGTCTGAGATAGAAAATAATTTCTTTACAAAAGAAAGGTTAAGGCTACAAGAAGAACAGCAAATATTTACTTATCATTCAGAATACTGTAGCAAAAGTGATACAAAAATGTAACAAAGATGGAACTGTAACCATTTCACAAAGACATCCAGGATGTTCACAGAAATGAACACCTCGACAGGAGCATCTTCTGATGAGATGTTCACTGCAGTTAACTAAAGAAGTAGAAAACTGGAATAACTGTTTCCCATGACACAATACAGCGTACACTGCAGAGGAATGGCATGCATGCGTGTCGTCCATGAAGGAAGCCTCTCCTAAAGCCCATACATAAAAAAAACCTGTCTAGAATTTGCCAGGGCCCATGCTGAAAAAGAGGAAGACTATTGAGACTCTGTACTGAGTGATGAGTTTCTGAAGAAGGACAGGGTGAAAGTGATTGAGTGGCCAAATATGTCTCTTGATCTAAACCCAATCGAACACCTATGGGGAATTCTGAAGAGACAAGTTGAGCATCACTCTCCATCCAGCATCCAGGCTCTAAAAGAGGTCATTCTTGAAGAATGTAAAAAAGATAGATGTTGAAATGTGTTGCCAACTTGTTCATTCCATGCCTAGAAGACTTGGTGCTGTGCTTACAAATCATGGAGGTCATACAAAATACTAGATTGAGTAGTTTTTGTTGTGGGGTGTATTCATTTTTGCATCAACTAATTTGAATAAAACTGAAGAATGAAGGAGTTATATTATTAACCTTACTTTCATGTAATGAGCTAAACAAATGTCCTATAAAACTCAGTTTTGTCAAAACTTGGGGAATTGTTCTTGTGTTCATTGAGGTATTGATTAAAATCTTATATTCAAAAGGGGTGTAATCATTTATGCTGAGCACTGTATATATATATATATATATATATATATATATATATATATAATTATTTTGTGATTATGCACCTATTCATGTATACATATGTTCATAATTGTGTTTTCTACTTCTAGAAATTTGATGGATGCCTGTTATACTTGAATTGAAATTTTGAAGAAGTGGTTGTTACCTCAAAACAAACAAGTATAATTTTGCATCATGGATAATGTATTCTTTCATTGTTGGACTATATACACGTTTTTTTAAAATTTATGTCAAATAAAAACTAGACATAAATTAGACATTTTTAAATTGAATTTACGATTATGTAGTTGGTTTTCTAATGGTATAATGGGCTACCCTAGATCACCCCTTTTCCTTAGTTGTTACAATGAAAGATGTACCCTCTATTCTAGATCTGGTGGCAACTCATAGTTTTGAATATTCACTTACTTTCAGTCCTGATAAATAACCTCAGTGGGGACTCAAATAGCAGTATAAACCTGGCAAAGGTTTTAACCCTATTCTAAAAACAAAAAAAAAATGGCCTTTACACTATAATGTAATAGCTAGCTATGTTAAATAATAGGGTGCACTGGGACAAAAGCCAACAAGGCTAAATCTACTTTTTATAAGAAAGATCTAGATTGCATATATTTTCAGTTAATTATACTTTTGGTTCCATTTTTTCTGACAGGAAATCTCAGTGGCTTAATTTGAATTGCCTAGGTTTGTGAAAGATTAACTTCAAACCTATGGTGTTTAAACAACTATATACTGTACATAATATGTGACAAGATGTTATGATCATCATAATATGTGACAAGCCATTATTGATCATCCTTGATTTCCAAAATGGAAATCAGTTCAGGGAACTAAGAAAGTAAGATCTTACATACTGTACATACAGCAAATGTGGCAGTTTTTATTCAGCTGTATGAAAATCCAGCAGAGGTATCTCAAATACAGGAATAAAAATTGGTGCATTTAAAAGAATCAGTCATGACTGAGCTTATAATAATCTGGATAGCAGGATACACAGTATTTAATGAAATCTGATTGTTTAAATATTTACATTCACCCCTTGATTTGGCATACATTAAATTACTTTGCCTGCCTGTCTCATAAAGCAGGAGCCATAGCCCCAGAATAAAAACATAATTTTCTGCAGTCTCAAGATGGTGATGTGACATACAGTAGTCACTGGTGGGAGATTTTTTTTCTTTGCAAAATACTCTTTTGGCATATTGCAAGACGTACAGCTACAGGGTGCTGTTATGTGATACTGTTAGAAGCATTTGGAAGTGGAGAAACACTTGAGTGAGACAGAAGAGCAACTGCAAGACCTCATGGGAGGACTTGTCCACTTCAGTCCCCTTGGGATATGCTAGGAAGCACTTCCTGACATAGCCACAATGCATAGACAAGACTATTTGCCTTATGCACCATTTATTTAGTTCAGAAATTCAGTTTGGGTAAAATAAAGTAGGATATTTTGCATTTTTACGCAGTGTGTTGCAAATGCACTATAACACATTGGAATACTGCACATAAAAGTAAATGGACAGTCAGGTTGTGAGTTTAATAAAGTTAAAAAAAAATACAATTCACCACAACAAAACACAAACCAATGTGCATTACGCACACAGTAATATGTGTCCGCTGGTGTGAATGGGCCCTGACAGTATCACTTCCAAACCTTCCAATCCAAACTCCAAACCTGAATATTCAGATTAAAATTAGGGATAAGTATAAACATTTTATTAAAAAGCCTATGCAAACACTCTAATTTGAAACTGAATATTCGGATTCTTACATACTGTAAGTTGAGTTTTGGCTGGTTCTCTTTAAGCAGATGGTAAGAAAGCAATACATACAGCATCATAGAAAACAGTTAACTTTTATTTTATTGCAAATGCTGCATTAATCACATCTAACAAATATATAAGATGTCTTATAGGAAGCTTTACCAACAATGGCTTATTATCCTTTAGCCACGTGATTTCTGGTGGAGGTACAGCATCTGATTTACATTCCAGAGTAACTTGCTTATCCTTAAGTGAAGTTATATTATGAATGCCATTGATGCCTGCAATGTTAGGGGGCACTAGAGAAAAAAGACAAACATAACCAAACATTACACATTTGTAAAATTGCCAGTCATCTACTACAGTATATGGTGGGTGTAGCCTCAAAATGTATTTACAGTTATAACTATAGATAAGAAACCAGTCTCATCTCAGGATTTTGCACAGCGCAGATATCTTCAGTCTGCAAACATCTGGCTGTTTACACAAAAAAAGATTCCCAGTTGCTGTTAAAATATAACTAAATGCAAAACTTTGTAAAACATTTTGGGTAGAGTGGAGGTGAGTTAGAACATCTGTCATATTGTTATCACTCTTTTTGTGATGTAGGTGTGCTGAACCTTATGGAGATGCATTATGCGCAATGGGTAGTTTCTAGAGGCTGCTCACCAGCAACTGTGGGGTCTTTCTGGACCCCCAGAGGAGTTATTGACGTTTTGAAGGGATGGCAGAGCTGTATATCAATATATATATATATATATATATATATATATATATATATATATATACACACACACACTATATTGCCAAAAGTATAGGGACACCCCCTCCAAATCATTGGATTCAGGTGTTCCAATCACCTCCATGTCCACAGGTGTATGCATTCAAGCACCTAGATGTGCAGGCTGCTTCTACATACATTTGTGAAAGAATGGGTTGCTCTCAGGAGCTCAGTGAATTGAAGAGCGGTACTGTGATAGGTTGCCACCTGTTCAATAAGTCCATCCATGAAATTTCTTTTCTACTAAATATTCCATGGTCAACTGTTAGTGGTATTATAACAAAGTGGAGGCAACTGGGCACAACAGCAACTCAGCCATGAAGTGGTGGGCCAAGTAAAATGACAGAGCGGGGTCAGTGCATGCTGAAGTGAACAGTTTACAGAAGTCGCCAACTGTCTGCAGAGTCAATAGCTATGGAGTGACGAATCTTGCTGGCAATCCGATGGACATGTCTGGGTTTGGCGGTTGTCAGGAGAATGATATTTGCCTGACTGCATTGTGCTAAGTGTAAAGTTTGGTGGAGGGAGGATTATGATGTGGGGTTGTTTTTCAGGAGTTAGGCTTGGCCCCTTAGTTCCAGTGAAGGAAATTCTTAAGACATCGGCATACCAAGACATTTTGGACAATTTCATGCTCCCAACTTTGTGGGAACAATTTGGGGATTGCCACTTCCTGTTTCAACATGACTGCACCAGTGCACAAATCAAGGTCCATAAAGACATTGATGAGCGAGTTTGGGGTGGAGGAACTAGACTGGCCTGCACAGAGTCTTGACCTCAACTCGATAGAACACCTTTGGAATAAATTAGAGGGGACACTGCAAGCCAGGCCTTCTCGTCTGACATCAGTGCCTGACCTCACAAATGCTCTTCTGGAAGAATGGTCAAACATTCTCATAGACACATTCCTATTTGAACAGCTTTCCCAGAAGAGTTGAAGCTGTTATAGCTGCAAAGGGTGGGCCTACTCAATATTGAACCCTACAGACTAAGACTGGGATGTCATTAAAGTTCATGTACGTGTACAGGCAGGCGCCCCAATACTTTTGGCAACATAGTGTATGTATATATATATATATATATATACACACATATATATATATATATATATATACACACACACACACATATATATATATATATATATACACACACACACACACACATATATACAGTCATGGCCGAAATTGTTGGCACCCTTGATATTTTTCCTGAAAATCAAGTATTTCACACAAAAAAAAGGTATTGCATTAACACATGTTTTGCTATACACATGTTTATTCCCTTTGTAAATGTATTGGAACAAATATAAAACAGAGGCAGAAAAGCAAATATGACATAATGTCACACAAAACCCCAAAAAATGGGCTGGACAAAAGTATTGGCACCCTTAACTTAATATTTGGTTGCACACCCTTTGGAAAACATAACTGAAATCAGTCGCTTCCTATAACCATCATAAGCTTCTGACACCTCTCACCCGGAATTTTGGACCACTCTTCCTTTGCAAACAGCTCCAGGTCTCTCTTATTGGAAGGACACCTTTTCCCAACAGCAATTTTAAGATCTCTCCACAGGTGTTCAATGGGATTTAGATCTGGGCTCATTGCTGGCCACTTCAGAACTCTCCAGCGCTTCTTTGCCATCCATTTCTGAGTGCTTTTTGACGTATGTTTGGGGTCATTGTCCTGCTGGAAGACCCAGGATCTTGGACGCAAACCCAGCTTTCTGACACTGGGACCTACAGTGCGACCCAAAATCCTTTGGTAATCCTCAGATTTCATGATGCCTTGCACACAGTCAAGGCACCCAGTGCCAGAGGCAGCAAAACAACCCCAAAACATCATTGAACCTCCACCATATTTTACCGTAGGTACTGTGTTTTGTTCTTTGTAGGCCTCATTCCGTTTTCGGTAAACAGTAGAATGATGTGCTTTACCGAAAAGCTCTATCTTGGTCTCATCTGTCCACAAGACGTTTTCCCAGAAGGCTTTTGGCTTACTCAAGTACATTTTGGCAAACTGTAGTCTTGCTTTTTTATGTCTCTGTGTCAGCAGTGGGGTCCTCCTGGGTCTCCTGCCATAGCGTTTCATTTCATTTAAATGTCGACGGATAGTTCGCGCTGACACTGATGCTCCCTGAGCCTGCAGGACAGCTTGAATGTCTTTGGAACATGTTTGGGGCTGCTTATCCACCATCCGGACTATTCTGCGTTGCAATCTTTCATCAATTTTCCTCATCCGTCCACGACCAGGGAGATTAGCTACAGTGCCATGGGTTGCAAACTTCTTGATAATGTTGCGCACTGTGGACAAAGGCAAATCTAGTTCTCTGGAGATGGACTTGTAACCTTGAGATTGTTGATATTTTTGCCACAATTTTGGTTTTCTCAGGTCCTCAGACAGTTCTCGTCTCCTCTTTCTGTTGTCCATGCTTAGTGTGGCACAGACAGACACACAATGCAAAGGTTAAGTGAACGTCTCTCTTTTTTATCTGCTTTCAGGTGTGATTTCTATATTGCCCACACCTGTTACTTGCCCAGGTGAGTTTACAGGAGCATCACATGCTTGTAACATTCTTATTTATCCGCAGTTGTGAAAGGGTGCCAATACTTTTGTCCAGCCCATTTTTGGAGGTTTGTGTGACATTATGTCGAATTTGCTTTCTTTCCTCCCTTTTTTTGTTTTGTCCCAATACACACAAAGGGAATAAACATGTGTATAGCAAAACATGTGTTAATGCAATACGTTTCGTGAGAAATACATGATTTCCTGGAGAAATATCAAGGGTGCCAACAATTTCGGCCATGACTGTATATATATATATATATATATATTTACATACATGAAAAAATACTTTGATGCATTACTATGGCAGGAAGAAAGGACATAAATACTCAACTGACATGTATATAAGTCAAGAAGGAGAAAGAAGGAAAACATTAAAAGAACGGCAACAGGACAACAAAAAATATAAACAAAGAAAGACAAAAACAACACCAACAATGAACCGCAAATGAGAAGTATAAAAGCCAATTTGTGCAATCCATAAACAATATGGTATTCCTGCAAAGTAGGTCCTGTTATTAATGACAGGGACCCAATATGTGAGTGGCTGCAGCTAAATGGAAGGAACACTGGAGCAAAGGCTGAAAAACATGAAGACTTTAAGTCCATAAGGGTTATTTACTGTAGAGTGCAAAATCTGGTGCAGCTCCGCATAGAAACCAATCAGAATCCAGGTTTTATTGCCCAAGCCTAGTTGAACAAGCTCTGGTTAGATGCTGATTGGTTTCTATGCCAAAGTGAGCCTAATTTTCACTTACTAGCTTTAGTAAATAAACTGCAAAATGTTTGGCAAACACTCAGCTTGAAGAGGGAGGGGAGTGGGACTAAAACAGGAGATACAACAGAGAAAATTCAAAGCTGACTCACCCAGATAATGTAGGCACCTGGATTGGAAAAGCACCTAACATGTGAGTGTCAGGCTTAAATCCTTCATTGCACAGGAAGAGGCTAAATTGGGGGTAGAGTCTGAGCAGCGTGTGCATGTGGACAGGGACTAAGCAATGTCACTATCACTGTAGGAAGGGAAGTGATAGGTGTGAAAAAAGACCTTAGAAAGACCATATTGGAGTTGGAAGGGTTAGAGGACTAGGGGAGGGGCAAAAGAAAATAATACATAAACAAATATATAAATTTAGATGAATGCAAATAAACAGGGACCATGCTATGCCTGTAACACTGTGGGGATGGAAGTGGTAGGTATGGATAAGACCATACTGGGGTTAGAAAGGTCAGAAGGTCAGGGATGGGGCAGGGGTAGAGAGAATAAAAAAAAGGAAAATGAAATTATGTGAGCAGGGATGCCACTCCTGATCACAACAGACTTTGAAATGCAAAGGGTGAAGCCATGCTTTGAGTGATGCCATCCCTATTGAGCCTATCTGCTTGCAGCCTTTGTGCACGTCTGGAGCTGGGGGTGCTACTTTATTATATGTGTGGATTCCTTAGTGTCAGGAATGACACTACAATATGTAGATGCACTGCTTCTGTTTTCCCAGTAAACATGTCACAAGTTAGCCTGCAGTTTTTTTTTGTGTATTCTTACCTCCTTGTTGCAGTGCTGTTCCTGATCCCTTTCACATGTGTGTTTGTCTGTGCTCACCTATAGACGTCATCCGCTGTTCTTTGGGTTTTATTTCCTTCTTTTCCATCACTTCCTGGCCCGCCTCCTTTGTTTGTCTGCCTATATAAGACATGCTCAGTCTAGGCCACTTTGCCTGATCACCTTCCTAGTTGTCTGAGCTCCTGTGTGTTGCTATCTCCTGTATCCTGCATTGACTACTTGTGTACCGACCCCAGCTTCTCTGACTGTGCTTGTTTTCCACCCGTCCTAACCTTGGCTAGTCTATAAGATTTCCATATGTCTCCTCCCATTGTATTCTGCTCCTGCGAGCGGTCTCCTTATCCTCAGATGGGCATACCCGGGGGCCGCGACCTGGTCCCAGCTTGCTGC